GTAACACCTCGGCTTCCCACGTGCAGCTGTTGCCACACGTCTTCGCTCGCTGGCGGTAGACACACACTCTTGCCTGTAGCTCGAGTCTTCGCCCCTTAGGTGGAAATCCTCTTCTTCTCCTTTGTCACAGAGGGCAAAAGGCTTTGCCGACAAGGCGGAACACCCTACGCACTCTGGCGCAATATTCCTTCTTTTCCTGCTTTGTCACTGAGGACAAAACCTTCGCCGACTACCCGGCGGAACACCTTATGCACTCTGGTGCATACCTTCTTCTTCTCCTGCTTTGTCATTGAGGACAAAACCTTCGCCAACTACCCGGCGGAACACCCTATGTACTCTGGAGCATACTTTCTTCTTCTCCTGTTTTTTCCAGCGAAGAACTTGAACAAATGACAGATGCCTGTTAATCGCCTTTTCATGTATGATACATGTGAGCTCCATGGAAGATCTCTGTCAATTATAACACCTAGGAACTTGTACGATCGGAGGTGACGTATCCTTTTGCTGTTTATCAGAACGCTGTAGTTCTGCATTGGTTTGCGCGTAAATACCACAAGTGCACATTTCTCCGAGGAAATTTCCAGACCTCGTTGACGGAGGTAAACAGCAACTTGAGTGGCAGCTCTCTGAATTCGCGCTCGCAGCTGTAGACGTGTTACTGCAGACGTCCAAACGCAGATGTCATTCGCGTACATTGACAATCTGACAGTACTTGGCAGATGCTCATTGAGAGCTATTGGCGTCAGGTTGAATAGTACAGGTCTAAGTATGCCACCCTGGGGAACACCACGGTGGCTGTAATGTAGCGAAGTGTCACCATCCTCGGTTCTCACGAAAAAGGATCGCTCAGAGAGATAGCTGCGTAGCCACTGAAACATCCGACCACCCACTCCTACCTCCTTGAGAGCGGTGAGGACAGCTTCATGAGTGACGTTATCGTACGCCCCTTTAACATCAAGAAATAAAGAAGCGCAAAGACGCTTACGGCCTTTTTCATGTTGCACGTAGCTGACCAGGTCTATGACGCTATCAATTGATGACCAGCCACGGCGAAATCCCGTCATAGCGTCCGGGTAGATGTTGTGATGCTCCAGGAACCATTCTAGCCGTCCAAATACCATCCTCTCCATCACTTTGCCCAAGCAACTAGCCAGTGCAATCGGGCGGTATGATGTGAGCACCAATGGTGACTTGCCAGGCTTCAGTAATGGAACCAAACGGCTGGTCTTCCAGTTAACTGGGAGGGTGCCCTCTTGCCACGAATTGTTGTATATCTCGAGGAGGGCAGTCCTCGCACACTCACCAAGGTGACACAGTGCTCTGTATGATATTCCATCAGGCCCGGGTGCTGATGTCCGTCTACACAAAGCCAGTGCTGCTTTAAGCTCGTGAATAGAAAATGTCCACAACTGCTATGTTGCGACTATACAGGATTCTTTTCCTTGGATTCCTTTGGTACAGCCTACCTGTGTTAACCAACGCAAGTAAAACAAGCATACGAATGCTTCAAAGTGTCCAGGCTCAAGCACTCCGGATATGTTTAGGCTTGCCCCAAAGTGCGTCAACAGCGGCAACTATCGCCATCACAAGGGACAACCTTATCAAGACCCACATTAATGTGGAAGTGCTGAGGACACATATAAGACACCTTGCTCGAACCTCTCGACATCACCTAGCTTCTCTACCAGTGGTCCGACCATGCACATCTTACTGCAAAACAGTGACCGCACATGGTGAGTCGATCCCAACTTTGTTCGCTCCTGCCGCTAGACCTGTGACTCCGCCATGGTGCCTCGCTCAACCAATGAATAATATTAACATACCTGGCGTCCAGAAAAAAGCCAATTTGTCGTCACCGGCTCTTAAACAGCTCACACTACTTCTCTTGTATGAGAAATATCAAGACTCCACACATATATACACTGACGGATCGGTTCAGCCGGACAGCTTTACAGGAGCAGTAGTGATACCAAGGTTGGCCACGACAATTAAATTCAAGACATCTCACGCAACAACATCAACGGCAGTAGAATTGGCAGCACTTCGTGCCGCGTTGCAATTTGTAGTTGATAAACCTACACGCAAGTGTACTATTTTCTGCGACTCGAAGGCGGCACTGCCGTCTCTACTATCAGCCTTACGCCGTGGACCATACGAGCAGCTGGTACCAGAGATAGCAGAGGTTATACACCACCTGACTGAGAAAGGGCACAAAATTACACTTCAGTGGTTGCCCAGTCACTGCGGAATCATCGGCAATGAACGGGCCGATCAAGCTGCCGGCTCAGCCTACACAGAGGATCATAAACTGCGACTACCACTTTCTAGGACAGATGCTGCACGAAAGCTCCGCAGGCTTGTTCGCCAGCAAACCACATCACAATGGAAACAGCCACACTTCAAGCATGCCCGACTGTACTCGCTTGACCCTACACTATGTCTTCAAGTCCCGTCGAGGCTTTGCCGAGCAGACCAGACCCTGTTATGTAGGCTGTGGTTGGGCATTGCGTTTACCAACGCCTACGCTTTCCGCATTGGGATGGCCGACACCGCTGCCTGTGGCCACTGTGACAAAGAGGAAACAATTCAACATATTCTTTGTGACTGCCTAGCGTATAGTAAACAACGACTATGCCTTCGCAAGGAACTCAACAAATTAGATGATCAACCTCTGTCGGAGCAGGGAATTCTGCAGTATCGTCAGGATGCGACTTCACAGAAGAGGGCCCTGAAAGCGCTACTAAACTTTTTGCGATCGACCGGCCTTACTGAACGGTTGTAGCTAGGACGCCCTTCCTGTGTGTGTTTTCGTTTTTTTTATGAGTGTGCGTGCGTTTTTTTTGTTTTTTTCTCTCTATCTACCCCCTCTTTCTTGCCCCTACTTCCCTGCCCCCAGTGCTGGGTAGCAAACCAGATGCTAATATCTGGTTAACCTCCCGGCCTTTCCTTTCTCACTCTCTCTCTCTCTTCTTCTTCTTCTCCTGATCTCTCATCTCTGCTGTTCGGTTAAATACCTTCCGCGCGAGATTCCAGAAAATTCTCATCATTTCGTTGGCGCGATACGCAGCGAAGGCTGGGGAAAACGCGAGACGGTTCGAGGGCCGTCCGCGACAGATGACGCAACCCTGCATCACCACGCCCCTTTCCATCGAGAACTTTCCAGGGCTTGCTCGGCCGCCGATGTGAGGAGGTTTGTCGGCGAACCTACACTTCCGAGGCAAGAGAGACGCGCGCCCGGGGAGTCTTTGGATGCTTGTTTTCTTTTTTTTATCGTTGACTTCGAGGCGTCTCTCCGGCGCTTTGTTGCAAGGATTTGGCGGCGCGCCCTTTTGGAGCGCTTGTTTTGTGACAACATCCCACAACATTACATGATATTTCTGTCCTCAAAATATTTGCTGGTTGCGTGGGTCACACTGTAATACATGAAAAAAGGCTCCTTACAGCGTTTCGCATTTTCGTTTCAGGGAAGGCGTCGCGCTTCTCATTTGAAATTGATCAGAACTATCATGACTCACAGCAATAACTTAAAATTCTTAGTCTAATCTGGACCATACACGTGATGCCACAAAATTATTGATAGAATACATGGCGCAACAGCATTGCAATTTCGCCTTCGTGTGTGACCCGCACATCCGCGCAGGCACTGTTCAAGGCATACCACACACGATAACAAAGTTCCACGCACCAAACAATCCTCGCATCATGCTTTTAGTACACAACACATTTTGATTATTCCCATTACACGTAACTGATTTGGTTGTTGCACTAAAGTGTGAAAGCTGGAACCAAACATTAATACTGATAGCTGTGTATGCCCCGCCGCAAAGACCTATCGATCCAGTTCTGGATAAGTTGCAATGTGTAGTATCATTAATCACAGGTTGTACTATCATCATAGCCGGAGATTTCAATTCTAAGCATAGAATGTGGGGGCCGGCTATAGGGGATGTTTGCGGCTCTCAAGTAGTCCAATCGGTGACGACAAATTACTTAGTCATGTTGAACAACCCCACCTCCCCTCCAAGTTTCACAACACCATATGAAGATTCTCGACAGATTTAACTATGGTTTCACACGACCTCATTTGCGATGCTTATCATTGGAACGTTTTCCAAATTCTTACCCTCTCAGACCACAACTACATTGAATTCTCGTTCTCGCAAGCACATACCAGCAGTGCTAAACGATTAATTAATCTAGAAAAAGCAAAAATTATTAACAATTTAAAGGATGATACTAGGTTCACAAAGATACTCGGCTGGAACATTGGGTCATCTGAAGCCTTAAACATGGTTATAGACAAGTTTTATGCCATATACTCTGCTTTAAGCCAACATTACTCACGACGCATAACATCGCGTAGTAAATTAGGTAATGGTTGGGGGACACCAGAATTGACTATCGAACGTAAGCGTGTTCGGGCTATGCGACAACGACATCAGCAAACAGCCGACCCCCTCCTTCGAGACATGTATCGCAAATTGTACGTTGACGTATTTTCCGCCTACAAGGATAAAATCATGAAAGCAAAATCATCGTTTGATAAAGACAGTTGTGACTTTCTTACTAAGAAATGTTTATATGGTGATGTTTTCAAAACAGCACTTAAAAAACACCGCCAAGAAACTTTTCTTCCTCCTCTAGATTTACTTAACGGCACTCGCCCAACTTCTGTAATGGAGTGTGTGTGTGTGGGTTTGTATTTGTTCTTATTTTCTATATGTCCTTTTAATCTGTTGTTATGTACTTTTATGAATTGACCACTAGCCAGTGTAAGCTACTAGTCCAGATAGCTTTTAATAATTGCTTACGATTTGTCAATAAAATTGAGATTAATTAATTGGTTGAACTATACAGTATGCTGTTGGAGTCATTGGAGCCCTAACAATTGCTGGCCTGTGTGTTGCACATTGCACTGCCTTACATTCGAGAGTTCAAATACTTGATGGGAACATTTCTGTGCTTGCTTATTAAGCCACTCTAAAATGTTCTTTCTGCAGGAAGGCTTGTACTTTGGTTGCTTGCCACTTGTGTCTTTGTCACCTACAGAGCATCCTGACTTGATTTCACTGTAAGTACATATCACCCCCACATTTTGGCTGATGCATTAAATGGATGATCATAGAGGACAAAACAGCATTGTAGTTCCACTTTTAGACTGCTATTTTGAACTAATTTTGTTAAGAACTGTGTGTACTTTTGCGTCGGCTGTCGTGTACTGCCCTTATGTGACTCTTGAGGTACGTTTGCTTAATTGACATTCTATAGGTAACCCTCACACTGGGCTCTAAAGCATGTAAATTTCTATACGGCTGGAGTTTGTTGAATGCGGCAACACATCATTTCATGCATAGTATGTTGTTGCTTTAGTTCGACTGTTACCGCTACAGGCAGAAACGTCATACTGAAGCCTCACTCGACCTGGTGAACAGTGCAATGTCATGGCATGATGGGTTTAAAAACAGAACTGATCGGCTGCCTATCAGCTTACTCTTGCCAAGGTTCGAACAGTCTACAAGTAGATGCTGCCAAACAAAAATGTCACATTATGCAGCTTGTATCTCGCATGAGGGGCGGTATTGGCAATACATCTTTATTTCTATCGCAAGAACCAAACATTGGTTCAGCTGAAATTGGCAAACATTATAAATAATACATGAGACCCTGGAAGATGGGTCTCTTCAACATCAGGGTTGAGTGACCCGGCAAAACTATACACTGACTTAAGCAGCCAGCATTATACACAACACCCCTCCCCCCTTAGCTAGGATTTATTTATTTATTTATTTATTTATTTTTACCCTTAAGGGCCTCTCTTGGGGCATTACATAAGGGGGGGGGGAACAATCCAAGTACAAATTTCAATGAAAATGCAGTTCATGGTTACAGTTTTTGCATTACTAAAACATACAAGTAGCAACAAAAAACAAAAAGAAAACAGAGCATTTCAAACGAAGTATTCAACAGTCAATTCACGGTCAAAAATATACAGGCGGCAGAGAACAAACAACAAAAAAAAGACAAACAGCGATTAAGAGTCAAGGGTAGCTAGTAATAAATCTCTAAATTTAACAGCAACTTGTTCGCTGACAATAGCATCCGTCAAACCGTTCCACTCATCGATAGCCGTAGAAAGAAATGATTTATTAAAAGCGTTAGTAGAACCAAACAGACGTTGGATACTCAGGGAATTAAATAGGCGACGAGATGTTCGGACAGGCGGAAGTAAAAGTGAACCATGTAGGTGAGGAAAGCTGTAGTAAAGTTTGTGAAAAAGACAGAGACGTGAAATTTTGCGTCGAGCTGACAAAACAGGGAGACCGAGGGATGATTTGATTTGACTGATGCTTGCTCGTTTGTCATAATTTGCGGAGATGAATCTGGCGGCACGATTTTGGACGGATTCAAGAATGTTAATTAGGTATATCTGATGAGGGCTCCAAATTGCAGATGCGTATTCCATTTTAGTACGAACAAAAGTTTCAAAGGCCAATTTGCGAAGGCTTGCAGGTGATAATGACAATGATCTCCTAAGATAGCCAAGGGTTTTTGAGGCATCGGCAGCTAGTTTAGTAATATGCTCGGTCCAGGTTAGTCTGCTTGTAATTACAACGCCCAGGTATCGGTAAGAATCCACTTGGGATAACACTGTTGAGTTTAATGAATACGGATGGATGACGTTAGTGTGTTTTCGTGAGACAGACATGAACTTACATTTGGAAGTATTCGGCCTCATCATCCACTGAGCGCACCAGTTATCAATGATGTGTAAATCTTGCTGTAGTATTAGCTGATCTTCGGGAGTTGATATGCGACGGTAGATGACGCAATCGTTAGCAAAAAGCCGAACCGTTGATGAAATGCCGGAAGGAAGGTCATTTTTGTAGATTAAAAAAAGAAGCGGGCCGAGAAGCGAGCCCTGAGGGACGCCAGAGATTACTGGAGTAGTATTAGAATGGGCACCACCGATAACAGTGAATTGCGACCGGTGGGTTAGGAAGCTCTTAATCCATGATAAGGTCAGGGGATCGAGGGAAAGTGAAGAAAGTTTGTTGATTAGTCGTTGGTGAGGGACGAGATCGAAGGCCTTTGAAAAGTCGACAAAAATAACATCAGTCTGAAATGACGAATCAAGGTTGAGATGAAGATCAGTCGTAAATTCAAAAAGTTGAGTTTCACATGAGAGCTCTGAACGAAAACCATGCTGCTTATGAAAAAAGAAAGAGTGATCATCGAGGTGACGAGCAACATGTGAATATATTATATGTTCCATAAGTTTGCAAGCGATGCACGTTAGTGAAATGGGGCGATAGTTAGATGGGTCAGATCGCTTGCCAGACTTGAAAACTGGTACAACCTTCCCAAGTTTCCAATCATCTGGGATGAAACCTTCAGAAATGGACTGTTTAAAAATTATCTCCAAAAATTTACTAGAAATGATATTAGTAGCCTTTAAGACTTTGGCAGGAATATTGTCAAGTCCGGGGCAGCTGGATATTTTTAGTTTCTTTATCAGACTGCTGATGCCTTCGGAGGTAATGTCAATGGGCGGCATTTGTGAAAAATTAGATCTCGGCATGACTGGAATACTAGGAAGTGGTTCAGAAGTGAAGACTGAAGTGAAGTAAGTATTCATAACGTCCGCCCGTTGTGGGAGAGGAACGTGTGAACCATCGGAGGTGGTTAAGGATATATTTTGCGTGTTATTTTTAGGGTTGAGAAGTTTCCAAAACTTCTTTAGATTAGTTCGGGCAATGTTAAGCAAGTCATTATGAAAAAATTTCTTTTTGGAGCGCTTCAGCAAGTGAGTGTATTCACGAAGGCATGCGAAATATCTGTTCCATTTTGTTATTGACTCAAAGTTTTTAGCAGCGCGAAAAAGACGTTTTTTTCTTTTGAGATAGTTTAAGAGATTAGAATACCATGGTCGCTGAGCATCACCTGGAACACGAATAAGGGGGACGTGGTTATTGATAAGGGTTAATATCCGCTTGAACAATAACCAGTTTTGGTCAACTGTTCGGGTAGAAGCAGACAGGGTGAAGGAGACCAAAAATTTATTAAGTTCAGAGTTAATCGCCGAGAAGTTGGCGTTGTTAAAGTCGCGTATTAATTTTTTCGAAGGTTTTCGCGAAGGTAAGGCAATGGACAATGAAAACAATACAACATTATGGTCACTCAGACCGGAAATGCATGACACTGACTGAATTAAATCTGGGTTGGAGACAAGAACAAGATCAAGAGTGGTTGTGCCACGAGTTGGCATTGTGACTGATTGCGATAGGTTAAAAAGGAGACACAGTTCGAGGAAATCTCTGGATTGTCGTGAACTAGCACACAAGTTGTCCCAGTCAATATCAGGGTAATTAAAGTCCCCGCATAGCAAGAAGTTTGCCTGAGGAAACCGGGATGTCAGGTCAAAAAGAACATTTTGAAGGTCATCTGTGAAAGAGTGTTCGCAGTCGGGTGCGCGGTAACAGGCTATAAGAATGTTTTTGCACGTGGGAAGGATTATTTCAACGCAAAGAATTTCAAAATTGGCAGGATGAATGGCAGTCAGTCTGCCTATTCATCCACTAAGTCTCGAAGGTGTTGGGTTGTCTTTCCGGAAATGGCATGGGCCTGGCGTCATGGGCCTGGTGGCGTTGGCTTAAGTGGTACAGTATTGTCCTAGGGCAGCATAGCTGTTGGTTTTTCCTCAGATTCACTGGGACCTTGTGCCTTGCTGTTGCTGCCTTTGTCAAGTGAAGGGCTTGACGCAGGTGAAACTTCAGGCTGACCAGCTAGGACAGCTGCTGCTACTCAAATGGAAGTGCTTCTTCGACAACGAAGCTGTTCCGCGCACCAGCGGCACAAGTGGCCATTTGAAAAAGCAACCTCATACAAGGCTGAGCCAGTTGCACTGCAGGTCATGGCGAAACCCTGACCATAATTTTATGCAAAGACAGTGTCCTCAGGTTGGAATATGTTATGTGCTAGCAAAGCTCTTGCAAATTGGGAAGACTTTTCATGGGTTCGCATTGGGTGCAACCATTGGAGCAAGGTAGATAGTGGGCGCTCACTTAGTAAATCAGGATGGGTAGCATCTTGTGTGGCAGTGTGTGTAGTTATGTGCTGCTGCAGGGAGTCTGCCAGGCACTGTGCCCTGCTCCCTTGGATTATTTGCAATAGTGCCTCCTTTGTGGTCTGTACCATCCTTTTGGCCTGCTCATTGATGGATGGATGGAATCATGGGGATGTTACATCAAGAGTGAGGCTGGCATTTGTGAAACCCCGAAATTCTGTAGATGTAAATTGTGACCCATTGCCCAATACCAGGGTATCTGGCTGGCCATGTGCTGCTGTAAGGTACTAACTGCACCACTTGATATCATTGATGGCATTGGTATAACCTCAAGCTATTTCAAATGAGAATTCATCATAATGAAGAACATCTTTGGAAGAGGACTGCAAAATCTATCTGCAGATGTCACCATGAAGTCTTGGTTGTCTCCCATGGTTGAACCATTTGCTGTGGCATCTCTGGCCATGTTTCCTGGCAGGGAAATCACCGATGGGCCTGTTCCTCAATAGCTCGATCTAATCATGGCCATCATACATAGCTGCGGGCAAGTGTTTTTGTTCTGATGAAACCGGTATGACCTATGTGCAGGGTTTCGAGAACATGGAAATGCAACTTCTGCAGAATCATTGCATTGTTGCCCCACAGTAAGAATTTCTTGCGGGCAGACAGCTCGTGTTGTCTAGACACACATCATGTGAATTTAACAACTGGGAGCACACTTGGCAACCCTCTTCACACCTAGTTGAGGGCACAGGGAAGAACAATACTTTGGTAGAGTAAATATTTAGCCACATCATCTGCATGGACAGGGGATTCCAGAAGTTCTTCCAGAAGCATGACTACTTCGGCTGGAGAAGGGTCGTTCTAGTGCTGGTGCATTAGGGGAAATCTACTAAGACCATCTCCGTGGCTCATTTGTTTCCCTAGCCGGTGGAGGAGATGCTGGTATTTGTTCTGAAAGGTGCACCACCGCAGCATGCAGCCGTAGTTGTGAAGAAAGTAAAACC